TATATATTTATATATTTATATATTAAAAGCAATCCAGGATACTTCTATAGAAGACCAGATGTGTGCACTGCTCCACAGTGAAAAGATCTTAATGGGAAAGAGAGATGAATTTTGTTTCACATGCTCAGCAGTGAATGCCAGGAAAACAAAACTGCTGTTCTGGGAAGCAGGGTGTGCTGCGGCTAACGTGGCCATCCCAGTTGTACATATTACCGTGTGGTATGGGTTGCATTTGGAAACGGGAGGGAGATTTCCTCGAGGTATGGAAATATAATGGCAAAGTTTTTTTCCAAACTTGCTGTAGTCAGACAATGCCAGCAGTGATTCAGGGAACCTTTTAAGGCTGATGCATCTCTCTGCATGCCCAGACAGCAGTGAGATTTCTTTTTCTTCCAGCCATTGTGAATGAGCAGGGAGCAGCGTTAGCTGGCTGTGTTGCAAACTGCAGAGCAGCGCTGTAATTCCAGCCCGAGGTTCTGGCTCTGGTTGTCCCCAGCAGCTGGGAGAGGGCTGGTGTTGGGAGCGCAGTGGTGCTGTCACCACACGACATCTAAAACATGTTTTCCTGCTAGCTGATACTCATGTCGCCCAGGAGGTTCAAATGCCAACATGTTCCTCACATTTTTCTCTCCTTCTCCTTAACTTCCAACGCAACCTCCAGCCCTAATGGTGTTCAGTTTGGGGAAAGTTTACTTTGCTTTCTGGAAATCACCCTGCACGCATCCTGGGAGCTGCAGAGAAAGAAAGAACTAATGTAAGTTCTTATTATACCCACAGGTCCTGCTTCCCTGTTGAATGTAAGTGCTGTACCCTTGAATCGTGCGTTGCAGGACATCTGCATGCTTCCAGAAGATGTGGAGAAGGTGAGGACAACAAACACTATTGTCATAATGTTTTTTTTCCATTTTATTAGTGGCAAAACCAAATGACAGGAGGCGTCTCTCAATAACAGAACTTTCTGACAGATGAACTAATCTTTACAAATACTGTATTTTCCCTCTTTTTCCCCTTTATCGGTTAACCTACAAACCTAAAATGCTTATTTCTTAATTTATTTTTACTCTTAATACATTAATTAAATATTTTAATTATTTTAAAATAATGGAAATATTTTAGAACACTATACATTTCCGCTTTTCATTCCATCACTTGCCCACACATTCCTGGAGACCAAACTTTAAGATTATTGTAGTCACTTTAAAGTTATGTTAGAATACGTTACGTAGAATTCATTGCAGCTTCGTGCATATGGATGGGATTTACCTCATGCTTTTGCTGTTGGGAGTTAGGGAGAGGTTGGGTTTTTGTGTGTGCTTATGATGAGCATGTGAGATTGCTGTAAAAGAGCTACAATATGAATAACAAGCACAGTAACTGTAACATCTGCAGTAATTTAAGTAGTTTCTTGTGGTTTCTAATTTGCAAAAGGGACCCAAAGGGTCTTAGGTGTGTTGCCAGACAGGCAGCCCATTTGAGCTTATAAGCAGAGATGAAGATGAGAAGATATATGCTGTCACACGTAACTCTGTGTGCTAGATGTTAATCTAATCTTCTCTAACAGTTGGAAAAGAGAGGTTAATGTTATATTTAGTTATTGCAATGAGTAGGATTTAATACAAAAGAGCTTTAAAAACATGCCTAGAAAAGGAGTTGGTTTTTTTTTTTTCTGGACTGTGGATGTGCATTTGGTCCCATGTCCTGGGCCCAAGTAATCATCTTTCTGCACAGCACTGGTTTTACTGGAGGGGCAAGTACTGCATTTGATTTGAAGCTCTCAGCATCCCTAAGGTGCATTTTGAAAAGAACAAAACCAAAAAACGCCCAATAAATCACACACCAAAGCCCAACAAACTTGTGAATTAGCTTTTCATGTTGCTTTTTGTGAAAGGCGTTTTGGAAAGGAGATGATGTTTCTCCATCTGTAATGTGAGAACGAAAAACAAAGTAATTTGCTTTCAGTCACCAGAAGACCAGCGAGTAGATACCTGGATTAGAAACCACAGTCTGAGAACTACTGAGTGAGGCAAGATCTCATCAGCTACTTCCCCTGTGCAGATGATTGGGGGCTGATGTGATTACAGGTTAAAAGATATTCTAGGAGCTCAGTCCGTTGTGACTGAGGCTGCCTTTAAAAAGAACTAAGCTAAACCAAACCCCAAAACATTTTTAGGTTGTGAAATAATCTCTTTGAAACTTGGGAGGCTGAAAACTAAGGTACTTGTAGTGTCAGCAAGTCTTGAGAGTTGTAGCTGTGTGCCAGGAAGGAGGTGGGCCAGATGATCTAGAGGGACTTTCCACTGCTGCGGGTGGGAGGGAAGAGAAATGAGAAGGTTGGTGTGTCACAGCTGAGTTGGGACTGCTTCCTAGGGTGATGGACCTAGCAGGAGGCAGAGCTGAAAGCTGGTGAGAGTCACGCTGAGTACAGGAGTGCCTGTATCCTGTTCCATCTTTTTGCAACTCTCAGATACGCTCGTAATTGTTTGTATCAGCAGGACATGCTGATGCGCTGTGCTCTGCCACTAACTTGGGGTTAACCATTGCCACACAGGCTTTTTGAATCTTCAGAGCAGATGTCCTCTTTATCTCTCAAAAATAAAAAGGCTGTTTAATTCTTTCCTTTCCTAATGGTGTGTCCTGAAGTTCACTGAAAGTTGTCTCTGGAGAAACTGCGCACCACGCAAATGATGTTAATTAGTGTTAGGGAAAAGATAAAAGTCTGTTCAAACACCCGCAGGGACTTGTGGGCTCTTTCTAATGTTGGGATTAATCTCTTTTAAATGCATTTGACTGTGGACAGTAAGAAAGCAGTGATATTTGGTATACTCCTTAAGACAGCTATTTCTGAACGCTGATATCTTTCTTCATGCTTTGCGCACAGGTTGTAGGGGATTTCATAAATACTGATGCGAGTGGTACAATTTTCTGAGTGTAAACCACTTTTCTAAAAAGCTTTAGAGATTCTGAGTGCAGAATAATTAGCCTTAGGTACCGCCATGATAGTACAGTGCAAACACATGCAGTTGAGGAGAGAGGGGGAGAGGATTCTGGGCATCTCTAAGTGTTTACCCACACATCTGAGAGCATCTAAATCATCACCATGCATCACTTGAGCTGAGCCTGGGCTAGGAGGCTGTGCCCAGGCCAGCAGCAGTGGCACGGGGCGGGGGGGGGCTGGTGGGATGCTCTGTTAGACCACAAGAAGCAGGGGATACAGCAGTGACACTGGGGCAAGGAGCCCCAGGACCATCTGGATGCCTCAGTGCTGTCAGAGGTGGCTTTACAAATTCCCTTTTCCGGAAGGTTGGGTGACCTGGGCAGCCAAGATGATAAGGGACACTATGGGGACAGTTGCCCGGCAGGAAATGCCACAGTGAAGCTTTGAAATTGCTACCTTTTATTTAAGGCAGTGTGAACAGCAGGGGAGCTGAGTTCCCACTTACCCTTATCACAGACTTTCTATGTAGCCTTGAGTTGACCATGCAAGCTATCTCACTGCATATTCCCTACTTCACTCCCTTAACTCACAAAGGCATTTTACTAGCTTCTGTACTACCTACCCCCTGAAGATCTACAGTCCCTTCAAACCCTGCCTCTTCTGGCCCCCTCCAAGTTAGCGTGCATGCGAAACTGCTCATACACACTGACTTGAAATTAAATCCTGTTAAATAGGTTACACGGATTCACACTTGCATACTAAATAATGCAGTGTAACCAGGAGACTACATCCCTAAAATGCATACGTATTCATCAATTAGGCATGTAATCAAGTTTTGTTTTATCTAATAGATGGGTAAGATAAAAGCAAATTGTATGTTTTAATAAAGGGTGAGACAATTACCTGGGCAGCTGCCTTTTGCATGTTGTCTCTGAATTGCCCTTGGGGTGTTTTTTTTGATGTTTAAATGAAAGGTGCAATAGCCTTACTTTTTCATTTCTTGAGTTGAAAAAGTACAGGGCAAAATTATACATTTAACTTCATCTTAAATAAATATCAAATATGCTGTGTACTAATGAGTGTTCCAATCTTGCGTCCAGGAAAACGCACACTTTTTTGTTGCAGATATGATTATAGCATCACTAGAAAAAATGAAATATAATATCCTAAGCCAACAAGCAGAGTCGTGGGGTGTGGAGGAAACAAGCGGATCAGATGGCAGCTATCACACTGACTTGGAGTTATCTTCTTACCCTGGGGTGAAGAAGTCTGATTCTTCTGTTGCCTCTTCAGACAGTGGTTACGAAGGCAAGTTACTTAGTCTGCAATGCAACCTTGTCTGACAGCCTTTGCCATTTATTTTTGTGCAAGAAAATACTAAATTAATTTGAGTATTGCTTGGAACCAAATCCTCTGTTACTTTCTTTGAGTCTCCCAACAGAGCTGTGTTCCCTGAGGATCATTATGCCACAGGTGTTTTCCCCATGGGACAAATTCTTCCTTTTGAATGCTCACATCTGTGTTTTATTATATTTTTTTTTTCTCTTCTACTTGAAAAAGAAAATGTAAGGTTGAAGTGCCACAGGCCATGCAATTGATTTGAGTGAAACTGCCCAGAGTATTCATTCACATATAGTTTGGAGGCAAGATAATAAATGCTCCTGGCACTATAATGCTTGAGTCAGCACATGCGTTTTTAACTAGATTTTAGTCTCTTCAGTAATACGGATCTTAGGGATGGACCTTAAGTCTAAATGACTTGTATGGAAAATTAATAATAAATAAATAACTTGTGGGGAAAAATGAATGGTGTGTTTGCACGTGGGAAGGGGAGAGACCACTGATAATGCTAAACCTTTTGGTTTAGTCTCTAGAAGCTTCTTCCTAAGAAAGTGAGGGATGTGCTGTATGACAGACTCCCAAGAATTGGCTTTCTCTGTGTGCGTATAAATGCTCTGTAAATGTAGGCTTTATGCTAAAGTTTTGGTAAGCAAAAAAAATAAAATAATTGCAGCTGTCTGCTCTATAAAGGCTGGAAAAGTTGAACTGGTGTTGTCTTTGTTCTGGACAGGCTGTGCTCTGCTGCCCGTTAGCTCCCCAGTGCATCTGCCATCACATCATGAGGTTACCAGATTTCATTGCCACAGTGACTCAGAGGACGAATATGTAATTATTGGTAAGACTTTAAAATTATGACTGCAGAAACAGCTCTATTGTTCAGCTGATCTGTTGCATTGTTTGGAAAATCTATTGGCTTACTAGATGTTATCGCAGGAGAAGAAAACATGAGAAAATGGGAAGAGCGATGTATGCATGACTTTATTAGAGCACATACAAAAATACCAGAGTGGTGCAGGACTTAATTTCTACAAAATAATACTTTGGCTGGCTTGAGGGACTGAAATTATACCTAAGGATTAAACCCAATGAATGTGGGTAAGCAAAGCATGAAACTGGCACAGCCTCGGCTAACTACAGCAGCATTGTTTGAGAGAATTTAGCACATGATCATTTCCCAATTGAAGAGGTCGATTAGGTTTTAGGCAGCCCTCCCTTTGTTTCAGGACTAGAGCACTCTGTCCCTTTACAGTCACCAGTGCTCTGCTTCTCTTCAGGACATCCTGAGTCATGTTTTATCTATAGAAATGTAATAAAGAAGTGTGTGCTTTAATTCCATTCATCTCACCTGTTACTAACTTGTTTATAGCATTAGCCTGCGTATTTGTGATCGCTGCCTCCAAATATCTGTGAGTGTCCGAAAAAATTACTGTGCACTCTATTGTTTCTGTATATTATTTTTTTTGTCTAATGCCTTCTGGCTGGACCTGGACTAGCAGGCACTTGGTCTCTCCTTACCGATTCTCCTGCTCTCGAAGGGAGGCTGATGGTGGTGGTATGATGCGTAGCTGTTAGGGAGTGCTCTTCATCAGTGGATATCGGAGATCTGCAGAGGAGATTAAGACTCCTTATGCCTGTTTTACAACCAGGGCTGAGGTTATTTCCCACATCCAGCAAGGGTGTTGCAAAGATGAATATATTTCAAACTGACACGGTGGTAACACAGAAGGTAGATTTAAAACAGTGCTGAGTAACAGAAGCTTTGTTTCTTAGATGGCTTGATAAAATTTTTCTCCTTTACTGCAGAACTTGAAGACCTCGAAAATCTGTCTGTCGCCCCAGATGAAAGGTAATGCTGTGTATCTTTAATAGCCTAGTGGCACTACCTTTTCTGCTGACCGGCTTTCTGGTGACTCTTCTGGCTGGGGCGGGGAAAGGTGTGGGAGTGGTAAATTTGGCCCTCCCAAAGAAGGGGAAGGAATGTTGCTTGACAGCAAATCACTTGGCTTAGCAGAGCTTTTCTCTGGTCCCAGAGTCTCGCTGGAGGGTGGTGGCTGCGGCTCTGCGAGGGCCTGGGTGTATCAAAGCAAGGGCATAAGAATGAAGGGATGGGAGAAGACTTCTGGGATGCAGAAGAGGCAGTGGAGCTACTGATGACATGCTGCTCTTTTTCACTGTCTGTATTGCTTAACTTTCAGATCATCTTTTGAACCAGGCAGCAATTCTGCTGAAGCAACAGCCCAGGAGTTGTGCAGAGCTTTCAGAAAACACTGGTTGCAGACAGACTCTGCAGTTCAACTGTCTGGTTGCCTGAGCACATCTAAGCAGAGAGTGAGTCTGAGCCAAAACCAGCAGGCTCTTTATTTGGTTCCCCAAATAACCATTGTCTCACTGCAGCTGCTGCACTGTTAGGGAAAGGGGAAACTGCATTTTAAAGAAAATAAATGCAGATGAGTACTTACAGTTTATTAGCTCAGTTCAGATAAATGTTTAGAAAATTTCTTCTCTCATTAGCAATTTTTTTAGCACATTTAGGATGTGCAGTTGTGAACAGTTAGGATGTACTTTCTTCTGGGACTGATGCGAGGGAGTTTAACTGAAGGGGGACTACATGCAGGTGAAAACTGAACTTTAAAGTCCTTGAGTATAAATGGAGATGTTTCATAACATTTAACGTATGTCCAGATGATGGGCTGTCCGTCTTCACATGTTTGTCTTTCCCAACAGTCTGTGCTGAAAGAAGAGATTCCAAGAGAGCTTGAGTCCAGTTTGAATCTGGCTGAAGAAATAAAGATCATATCCAAACTAAGAGGATCTTCTGGCTGGGCCCCACCAAGATCGCAGATTATATTTAATATTCACCCTTCAGTCAAGTAAGTCTTAAGGGATCTGAGCACCGTTGTTTAGTACAGCATGGGGATTTGTCTAAAGCCTGCTGAAGTTGATGGAAGGAGCCTGGGTAATTTAACAGATCCGAAGGTTAGAGCTAGTGCGTGGTGCAGCCTTCTGCAGTGTCTGCCACCAGCTTCACTGGAAAGCAGATAGCATCTTTTTCCCTCTGTTGGCATGTCCTGATTAACGTGGCACATGCACTTTTACATGTGATAATACAGATACTGTTCGGTGTTTTGGTGGCAGCGTGCTTAGCTGGAGTCCTAAAAATTTCATTTTGTGAGACTGCCTGGAGAATATTTTTAAGAGCTTCCCCACTTCCCTGCTGATATTTTATGGGTAGTAGGTTTTCAGAAAGGAGGTAGAAAACAGGTCATGTTTGGGGAAACTACTGTCTCACTCTGTGTAAAGTGCTGTTAAATGCGCCCAGTAGGCAAACTGGCTAATTCCCTGTATTGTTGCAGGTCTGGTTGCTTTTTCAGCTGCAGATGTGGATTTCCCCCTCCCCCTTGATACTGATGCCACCTTAAGAAATGGAAAAGAATTTAATTCTTGCAACAAGCCATATTTAGAAGCAGTAATTGATGGTATATTCTCCACAGAACAGCTTGGAGACTCTCACTAGAATAATAACCTGCATCTCCTTCCACAACCCCCCTCTTCATGTGGAGGAGAAGTCAGCTCTTAATTGGGACATTTTCACTGGTGCCGGCGTAGCTCCCTTGCACTTTGGGAGAATGTTAACTAAACTGTGTTTTGGGTGCTGAAAGGTGTAACTATTTGCTTCTGCATGCAGGAGAGATGCAGTGGTGGCTGCCCAGAACTTTACGTGTGTTGGTTGTGGAACCCCGATAGAAAACAGTAAGTATTACCAAAAGAGGAAAAAAGCTAATAGATCCATTACTAGTAATCATGCTACAATCTTCACCAACATAGATGTACCACAGTTGTAAAATTGTCTGAGCTAAAAGGAAAATCTCATTGTTGGATGTACCTGCAATAAGAAAACAGGCAGTGGGATCTTAGCGCTGCCTGGAATTTCTCATTGCGGACAGAATACAGTATTTGTTAACATCCTTCTCATACACAGTAAAAATTTGTGACAGTCAACAACAAAACAGGAAAAGCTATGAAAAAAACTAAGCTTCCGGGCTGGAAAATGCTGGGTTTACATCTTCCAGTGATTTCTTTCAATAATTCTTTCTCTGTACCAATTTACACGTTTCCAAACATGTCTCTCTTTGGAGACTTTGTGGAAGCTTTATGCAAGCTTATGGAATGTGTGGTTTTCTGTTTTGGGGTGTCTTTTTAAAACTTTTTTTTCTTTAAACCTTGATCACAAAATCCTACTTGCGTTTTATTTGTGATACTTTGTGAGAACCGCTTGAAAGCATGACTTGCAGGTCTGACAACCAGACCTTACCGAACAAATCTTTGAAGTGGCTTTCAAGATTTGTTCTAGGTCTGCTCACAAAAGAGCAGCATTTGTGATGGCCTGTAAAGTACCAGCCAGCTGTGATGGCACATTAACGTGAGCAAACCTGAGATGCTAAGATAGCTGGGAAAAACCCACAAACCTCTTTATATGAAGAAGTGTTATACGAATGTGACTCCCAAGATCAGCTTGTCTTTCCATTTGGTGGAAGTATTTTGTTGTGTGTTTTATCTTGGGTCTCTCTTTTGTGGTAAAGCAACAATGGTTTCTCTAAGATCTCATGGTGATAAATATAATCGTTTCACCTTGACAAATACGGAAATGAAGAAAGCTTTCTCATGTAATGCAAAGTACAGACCTTGTGCATGTGTTTGCCACAGTAATAACCCCGCCTACTACTTAAAAAAAATAAAATTCCTTTGCACCTCACTCCAGTAGAGCTGAGTTATTTGGACAGAATAGGCATACAGACAAGAAATATGTCCCATAAATATTCACAATTTCCTTGCTATCTACCTGCAGAATATATCAGGAGACTCCGCTATTGTGACTACCTGGGGAAATACTTTTGTGACTGCTGCCACAGCTATGCCCAGTCTTCCATTCCTGCCCGAATACTGATGAAGTGGGACTTCAAAAAATACTACGTATGCAACTTCTCCAAACACCTTCTGGACAGCATATGGCAGCACCCAATATTCAATGTGTCATGTATTAACAAAACCCTCTACACGAAAAGTAAAGAAATGGACAGGGTGAGGGTAAGTGTGTCCTTTTTTTATTGGGAATTTGTGGGTCTGAGACTTTTGGGAAGAACTCCTTAGGGCAGGTTGTCCATTGCCATGTGTGTATGTGGGAAGGAGGCAGAGTTGGTTTCTCTGCACCTAGTCTCGTCCCATCGCTACTTCTGGGTCTTGCCCTCTCCCCTCAGATGGAGGAGGAGGGAGAAGTTTCCAACCTATGCCAGAGGTCTCATTTTCGCCCTTGTCTTTGGGAGACCTTTCCTTATTGGTTTCCAGCTTTAGTTCATGATGTGGAGCTGGTCTCCAGCAGTAAAGATTTACCTCTGCTGAGCAACTGGCTGTTGGAAAGCTCCAGAAGTTTTGAATGACTCCTTTATTTTGTAGGCCATTAGAGAAAACACCTTTGGCTCATCTAAAGGCTGTACCTCCTACAGCTTGAGGAAGGGTGCTCTGCCAAAGATGACAAGTTGCCACACACTGCCTTCTTAGCTGAGGAGACACTTACCTGTTCTTACACAGGTTTGGGTCTAGCATCTTGGTGTGCTGACATGGAGTCGTTTGTAGCATTAGGAATTGCTTCCCTTGTCAGTGAACAGAAGTAGTCTTTGCCTTCCTTGGCCTTTCGTGCATTAGAAAAGTTCCTATTATTATTGATGTACTGACAAGGGTTGCTGACTCAAATAGTGATGTTCCTTACTTATGAATATATAAATGCAATTGATTTTCATTTTAAAATCGTTTTGTATTTCCCCTTCATCTTTTTAGGAGGCTCAAGAACAGCTCTTTCATTTAAAAAAGCTTTTGAAAACCTGCAGGTTTGGTGAAAGGTACGGGCCATGGTCATGCATGAAAAGTAGCTTATTAAAATATACTTAAGGTGCTTGTAGAGCCTTCTTCTCTAGAGACATTTGAGTGCAGTTTTAAATGAGTTATGATCATTATAGAAAATTCTGATAACAAAACTTCCTTCTATTGCACTGCAAATTTTGAGTGAAGAATGGGTTTTATGTGACAGCTTTCTGGTTTTTTTGTAACATACTTGAACATTGGGGTTTAAATGTTGAGTGATTTTTGTTAGGTGTATATTTTTTCCTACTCTGTCGCTCTTAGGTTCTTGTTCTTAAAAGGTCAAAGATACTTACGTGTATCTCTGAGATGATTTGTCTTTAAAAAAAAATTTAAAAATTAACAAATGTGTTCATTGAGAGTTTAAATACTTCTTCCAGAAATTTGTCATAATGCTTAATTCATTTTATTTTATAAACATATTCAGGTGAAAGTAGTAACCAAAAGTCATAAATACCAAAACATGACCTTGCTTGTTGCTGCAAATTGAAGATTTTTGGTATTCACCTTCCCAAACTATGGGCATAACTAGTAGGTAGACATGTGAATGATAAAACCTTCACTTCAGAATTGCTAACCTTTTTAAAAACAGACATAAGCAAAATAAGCTTTAAAAGTAGGTTCTGATCTCTCTCCGAGATGGACCTCTTTTGTGCATCAATTACCTGTTGTTCACCGATATTTTAAAAGTAATAGCTATGTTTTCAGTGTTCACCTACTCAGTACAAGCATAGTTTTAGCTGATAGTGACCTATGCAAGATAAAAACCCTTAAAGTTCTCTTTGCAAAAAAAAAAAAAAGTAAATAACCCTAGCTTCTTGCATTAGATACTATATGGGTTTTTACCTACTGTTCCTGAGGTAGGAGAGAGCCCTTTACACATTATTTAAGAATTGCTGGGATAACTTGGCAGCTCCAATGCCTGAGGAATGCGCATTTAAAGCAGACATTTTATTCTAAATCCCAAACCCTCCAGTTTTTGTTAATGTGATCTCAAATTGGGAGGGAAGGTAGGATTTAGCATGAACTTGCCTTGTATGATCCCTGGGTGACTAGGGGTGTGAGAGAGGCTTATTTTTCAAATACACTCAGTCAACATATTTTTGTAATTTGGTTTGTTTTTCATTTCTCTTTGCAGTGTACTGAAAGGATTTGAACAGGTCCCCAGCCATCTGACAGAGGAGCTGCATCTCTTCTCCCTGGATGACCTGGTGAAGATCAAACGAGGGCAGTTACTGCCCCTTCTTAAAGATATTCTGAAGAGCTCTACCTCCCATGTGGATGGTTGCGAGGTAAGGAAAAGCCAGGGCTCTTAGCGTCCTTGCAGCTGCTTGTGTGAGGAATATCCTTGCTGGCATCCCCAAATAATTTTTTCTTAGTTTAAAAGTAAATCAACTTTTTTTTCTGTTCTTGTAGCTCTGTCAAGCAAAGGGCTTTATCTGTGAATTCTGTCAGAGCGCAGATCTGCTCTTTCCACATCAGATTGCCAAATGCAAAAGGTGCACAGGTATGTTCCAGACCAAACATTTTTCTTTCTTCCTTGGGGGATGTTGGTGTGTAAGCTGTTCAGACTTACTTTAGGAAAACATTGAGAACTTGCTTCACTGAAAGAATGTATATTTGAAAACATGCATGTGTCTTTGAAAACCGTGGATGGCACATGTATCTTTGAAAACCAGCCTGTGGCAGTTGCCTTGCATCAGTAACTTGGCTGCAGGGGTAGGCCATTTTTTTGGGTCTATGCATGAGAGAGCGCCTGGGACAGTGCTCTACTGCTGCTATATCCAATCTTGATGACATTCATTGTAAATCCTGCGAATCTTAACAAAATTTTTAGTCATAGTTATTACAGGGGTTGTTGTCCTGGCCTTGCACTGCTTCTGTTTACTTTTATACTTGGGTGAACTAGATGAGAACATCCTTCAAAGAACACAGCTATTGATTCATTTTTTTTCATTTGCTCTTCCTGAATGCTAAACTGCTCGTATGTATAAACAGAGTGCAAAACGTGCTTTCACAAAGCATGCTTCAAGGCTGGAGGCTGCCCCAAATGTCTGCGGATCACAGCTCGGAGGATGCTTTCAGAAACTTCGCCACTGGTGCCTCCGTGAAACTGCATTCCTCTGACTGCTGATTTCAGAAGATGCTCAAAGCCAAATCTTCAGGTGCCTGGCTAAGAGTTAAATAATGTTGTTTTAGACATTACTATTTTTAATTTGTGTCTCCTTTATGGGGGGGGTTAAAAAGAAAAAAAAGAAAAAAAAGAAAAAAAAGAAAAAAAAAAAGAAAAAAAAAGAAAAAAAAAAGAAAAAAAAAGAAAAAAAAAGAAAAAAAAAGAGACTTTAATATCATCGTTGAAAACTCACCCTAAAGGAGTTCTATCTTAACTGGTGACAGAAAAACTGGATGTTAGTTCTGTGAGCAGCCTTTTGTTGCTATGTTTTGTTCTTGTATGTAAGATTTTTAATATTATATTTTTCCATATAAAAATTATTCTTCTCTGTAATTCTGCAAATAATGTATAGTAGTAAATGAGTGTTGGAAATCCTTACCTGTGTTGGATTTTGGAAACAGAAAGAAGTGGTAAAGTACAAAACCATTCCCTGAAAAGCTCTACAATAGAAAAAGCTTGCCTGCAATCTTTAGGCAGATGCTGATCTGAAATTATGTTCTGGCCAGCACCTTGCCACCTCCACCCAGTACACAGCTCTAGAAGTTTCTTTCCAGAGCGCTTAGAAATGTGAGGAGAGGGGGTGAGTGAGCAGGAGATTCTGCTGAAATCCACCCTCACGCTTGCAAGTCTGAGTCCTTGCCTAAAGGTGAAGTGCTGGAAGTGGAAAGCAGCTTGCTTTCCCAGCCCGGCTGGTTACTTCTGATGGCGCTGGCTGAGGAAGCAGCCTCTGCCTTCAGAAACCCAGAGCAGCTGCTTGAACCTGTAAAACCATTTTTCTGTTTGTGCCACATACGAAGTACCGATGAACAGAGGAACTCCAAAACTTGGAAGCACATACCAAAGTTCTGAGCTCTCCAATGGGGTGCTTTTAATATAGTTTTAATTTGTTGTTCTCATTTTGTCCTTTGTTTTTGTGGGGTTTTTTTTGGTTTTTTTTTTCTGCCTCTCCTCACCTGCTAGCTCCCGCTTTTAGCAAGGAAAAGATCAGCTGCCTGTTACCAGGCTTTGTTGTAAGTTCTCCTGCACGCTAATGCTCACAGTATGAGTAAGCTCACTAACTCTTCTACTTAGCTCTTTTTTCTGTGGCTGAAAACAGCTTACCTACTTACTGCTCAGACGCAAGATTGTCATCTCCTACTCAAGATCACCGAATGGATACTGATGTAGGGTAAGATGTGGTGAGAAAGAGCCCGCTTATGCAGCTGACTGTATTTAATGTTATGCAAGAGTAAATTCTCATTTAAGTTGGGTGCAGGACTAGCTGAATCACATGAAAGGCCTTGCTGTAGGGATTTTCTGCTTACGAAGGAGCTCACTTGAATAATCCTTCTGTGGGATAACCTGCAGGGCAACTGAATACATCTTTTTCATTATTCATGAATTGAGAAGAGCTGATCTGGTTTCTGGCTGTGCTTTTCACAAATGTTCAAGTCTCGCTCAACAGTAGTGGTATGCAGGAGAGGGAGCACTAGAGGGTGAGTTTCATGTATCAGGTGTTGATACTTTACATCCACTCAGTTCAGTCCAGGTCTCCACAGAGCCTTTACAGCTTATCCTGATTGATTATTGCTACGTACCACAACGTATGCCGCAGCAAGAGAAGATGCTCGATGAGTTTGAGTAGCTGGCAGAAAGAGGAAGACCCAGTCCTATAATCCAAGTAAAACTAGTTAAAATGTTCCACTGCTGAAGCTACAGTAAGAAGGACCAGGCCATGAGGTGCCAACAGGTTGGTCACAGGTTGGAAGGAATAACAGAGGCGGCTGTTTGCTGCTGTTGACGCGGTGGTGCTCTTGACTGTTAGGTCTGGAAGAGGGGTCATACCAAAACCACATTCTTGTGTGCTGGTGTCAGCACAAGCTAGCGCAGGAACACGCTGAGGCCATTCACCCTGAACCTCTCTTTTGGTGAGAAGCAAGGCATGGCTGACTAGACCTGCAGCCGCAAGGTGTTCTCGGTGTTGCTGAGGTGAGAGTTTCTTCTTACCAGCTGCCATTCTGGGATAGCATAAAGCAACGACAATAAAGCTGAAAGCATGCACTGCATCTTCCTGTATTTGGTGGTAAAGTGGCTTGGACAAGAAAGGGTGACTTCCATGCTACAAACCCTCTGGGTGTCTTTCGGGTGTAGCCATGTTCTTTGAATCAAGTTTTGAGACTCATTAAGCTTCTTAGATCAATACTGAGCTCTTCCTGAGCATATCTCTATGGATAAGTACAGAGATTGATTGTTTCTGAGGGTAAACCAGTTGATAATGCTCACTCTTAACAGTGGGTTTCCATGATGCTGTGTGGGTGCAACAGGAGCACCCCTGAGGGACCCTACTGGAGGAGCACTCTCAGGGACCTAAGAGGCAGAGGAACCTATTCCTGCTTCCCTGCCTGCCTCACCCCACAGGCAGAATTCAGGTCAAGACAGTTTCATTAGTAATTTCTATAGGAGCAGGTTTTGAAAAGAACACAATACCCATATCTCACTCTCGCTGCTAACAATTTTACCTGCTTTTTCACTGGTTCGTTCTTTATGCTGATTTGTTGTATTTTTCCTCGCAGTTTCAGCTGTGAGTTGTCTGGAGGCAGAAGGGCTTTACTAACACTTTGTACAGCGTGTTGCAGCCAGGATCTTTGATAGATCATCCAGCTGTTACAGTAAATAATATAATAATACTAATTGCCAGGCATAGTGTGGACTCACAAATACAGGCCTTGTTGCAACTGTGAGCAAGTATGTCAAGTAATTATGTAGTTTTATGGGCCCGTATGATTCCAGAGATGTCTGTCACACCTATTCACTTTCAGAGAAGAAAATATCTGTGTGTTTTATTAGAAATGATATTTTGCCTGTTTTTGCACACTAGAGTGCACAAACTCCTTCAAGAGAAGGCTTTCATCTCTTGAGGTGCCTATTTTCGTGTTTTTCTGTTTTCATGGTTTTCATTTTTTTGAAGGAAATGTACCACTGTTGTGGTTTAACCCGGCAGGCAGCTGAACACCACCCAGCCTCTCGTTCATTCCCCCCCTCCCCAGTGGGATGGGGGAGAGAGTCAAAAAAAAAAAAAAGTGAAACCTGTGGGTTGAGATAAAGACAATTTAATAAAACAGCAGAGGAGAAGAATAACAATAGTAATGCTAAGAGAATACACAAAACAAGTGATGCACAATGCAACTGCTCACCACCTGATGACCAATGCCCAGCCCATCCCCGAGCAGCGATCCCCTTCTCCCCAGCCAACTCCCCCTGATGTTAGATAGTCTGGAATCCCCCTTTGGCCAGTTGGGGTCAGCTGTCCTGGCTGTGCACCCTCCCAGCTTCTTGTGCCCCTGGCAGAGCAGGGGAAGCTGAGAAAGTCCTTGACTTAGTGTAAGCACTGCTTAGCAACAGCTAAAAACATCAGGGTGTTACCAACATTCTTACAGTACTGAATCCAAAACACAGCACTGTGCCAGCTACTATCAAGAAAATGAACTCTATCCCAGCCGAAACCAGGACAACCACCATTTCCCCACATTTGCTCTGTGACTGCTGCTTGACTTAATTTTCTTTTAGGCCAGCAATCTGAACACTCTGAACAATGCCTGAAGTCTTCTCTGTAAGGTATTAATTTTGTACATGTAAGAGCCATGTTTGATCACACATTGTCTTCTGAAGATTGCAAAACCAGGAGGTCGTTAAGGGAAATCTAATCGGTAAAGGAGGGAAAGGAGAGGTAGGGAATAGGTCTACCAGAAGAGCTTGGGTAGCGTGCACTTGAGTGGAGCGTGGAGAGAGCTAAGCAAGTCTGGCAGCAGTTAAAGCAGCTCTGCACCGAATAACTTGTCATCCTTTGTAGATAGGATGAATAATATTTTATATTTGACCAGATTAAAAATAGAAATGCAGGTTAAATCTGTTATCAGTAAATTAAACTTGCCCAGGACTGGTCTCTGATATTAAGGACAGACAGTGTAAGATGGGCCACATTCAACTACTCTGTGCTTTTGTTCGCTGTGGGGTTGCCAAATCCAGTGTGCTTATTGCGAATGGTCCCCTGTCCGTGCCAACCCCTCATCTGTATTTGCTGTCATGGCCCAGAATTCTGCTGCATTTAATCCTAACGGTTTGCCAGTGTAGATGTCCATGATGTAATGAGAAAAAAACCTCTATGGCTGTCATTGGTTGGTGAAACCACTCATATGCTCGAGAAAGTTTACAGCTTGGTAGGTGCTCATTTCTCACCTTCCACAAAATGATGGAATCTCCCTACATTTCTTTTTCCCCACAAATTGCTGGAGGTTTGTTATTTTGCAGCTTTCAACAGAGTATGTCTTCAGGCAGAAGAAAAAGGAAGTATTTTTTTCTTTCTCTCCACTATGCAGATTTCCCCTTAGTGTATAATTTAAGGTTCATTTATTTGCAAACAAACCCAACCCAGTGCCAGTCTAATAAAAACTGTTCCAAGGCCAGGGCTGGACAGCAGGGGGGTTTGGGGGCCAAATAAGTTCCCGGAGTGTGCTGGATAAACCAGGGGAGAGAGTACCAAAGCACCTTCTGCCTGGAAAAAAACAGCTGGTTTATACAGAAGAATCGTAATACCATGCAGTACCTGTGCAGGCGCAGGCACGGACAGTACGGGCAGATCACCACAGAGACAGGGAAATCTGACACAAGAAGGCAGCAAGAGCTAGGCACCAACGTGATCGAGTGTCCAGCTATGGGGGCTGTATCCATGGCATGGATTTTTGTGGTGATGGTGCCCCTTCCATGGACATGGGGTGGGTCCCTGCCTCCTGGTGCAGTTCAAAGGAAGCCAGACACCAGCAGCTTGGATCCCACAGAAAGTGCTGAAATCTGGATTAAGGGGGAACTGAGTGAAAAACTGCAGTCTTATGGAGGCCTTAATTCAATGGTCCTTTCCAGTAAATTTTTTTCCATTGCCTGGAGGTCTCTTCCTCCTCAGGCCCAGAATTGCCCTAGCCTGAGCAGCTTGATTCTACTTTCCTGCCTG